CCATCTAATGAAATATTTCATTATTGAAATGGGTTGCTACAACCATGAAATGGCACATGACATTGCCATGTTACTTTGAAATGAAGAAGAGACAACCGATGCAGCTGCTTTAAGACCACCTTTAGTGATTAGATCCAAATGTCCAAAATTTGAGGCTATAATTCAAATTCTAGCTCCTCAAAAGGTGTTTTGGCATGAGAAGTGTGTTCCAAAAGTCCAAATTTCCAGATTTGCGCTTTAACTCATAATCCAAATTGTATATATTTCATCATTCTAATTACAAAATTTGTTCATTAACTTTATATAAGTACTATTAATTAAGACGAACATTTCGACAATTTTTTTTAATTCTGACTAAAAAAATTATTTGTAAATATGACTTAATTAATGACGGTCTCTTGTTTGGACTGAATGAGCCGGTGGAGGAGATTGTGGGTGCTAAAAGGTAAAGTAGTTTCTTTTTTTTATTATTATTAAAACTCTTTTTGGCAGGTGGCCACGTCTGCTTTTCCCCCATGTGGTCACTCTCTTTTGGAACTTTTTGTCCTTTTCTAGGCCAAATTTGGACCCAATTTTTGGATCAATTGAAACTTTTGGCTTTTTGGAACCTTACTAAAGTGGGTCTGGTCCAATTTTTTGGAATTCCAGCCCACCATTAAAGTTGGTCTAAGGTTACTCACCTGATCTGTTCCCCTTCTTTTCTTATTTTGGCAGGTTTGAAAAAGAGGCCAGATCTAAGTGAGGTTTCTCCCTACTCTGATTTTCGTTTCAAGTAACCTGTGATGGATCTAATTAGATTAGGGTATTTTATGATGAATGGTTCGGGATTGGGGTCTGGTGTTTGTGGGTTAAGTGGGATATGGATATGTGACTTTGAGAACGGGGATAATGGTAATCTCGTATTTGAAGTTTATTTGGTGGAATTTTGTGGTGAATCAATGGTTTGAGAGAGCTTAGAGGATTGGGGATGGTGTGGTGATTTTTTTTTAATTTATTCCATATGCATGATATATTTTTATGTATGTGCAAAAATAATGAGAGAATTGAAATATGTCATAAATTAAAGGGTAAATACAATTTAATATCCAAACTTTTTATTTTAAATAATATAATAGCCAAACCTTTTCGAAAACAATCTAATATCCAAATCGTCAACTTTCTGTCTGTTTGACCGTTAGTTGACACTTCAAAAAAGTTTGAAGTACGACACTTCATCAATATCCATCGATATCTTCTCTGAAAAACCACCAACATATCGTAGTTCCAAACCCGAGAAGTCCATGACTCCACCATGATGGTATAGAATATCTAAATATTCAGTCATCTGCAATGCCAAAACAAGAAAACAAAGTTGTATTGTGACAATTTCTCCTAAACAAAGCTTTTTTGAAGTGTCAACTAACGGTCAAACGAACGGAAAGTTGACGATTTGGATATTAGATTGTTTTCGAAAAGGTTTGGCTATTATATTGTTTAAAATGAAAGGTTTGGATATTAAATTGTATTTACCCTAAATTAAAAGGATTGTATATAACTTTATGGAAATAGTAATAAAACTATATGTAGTAAATGACAGTAATAGTAATAAGCTTAAAAGTTGAGATAGTTATAGGTTAACATGACTAATAAATAATAAAGTAAATGCTTGAAATAAGTAAATAAAGGAACTGAAAAGTAAAATATTATAAATGGAAGAGATGGTAAAGTAAATGAGACTTGGTAAGTTTGAATTAATAAGTTGTGATTCTTTTAAATCAATTTGGTCATATTGTAGTTTGATTGGAGTTTATTGGGTTTTCTCCTTCCAAATCATGATGATAGTAATGATGGTAAAAATAACAATAGTAATGGTGGAGACCGGAGAGAGAGGACAAGAAGAAAAGAGTGGTAGAAGAGGTTATATTATTAGAAATGGATGATGATGAACCTGGGTTGTAAACCGCAGATCTTGTTAGGCTTCTGTTTGCTTAGAAACCCCATGTTGGGGGTAGGATACGGTGACTACCCTCAAAAGGGTTTGATTTTTGACACCCCCTTTCTTATTGGTCCATTTTTCCTCAATCATTTGGTAAGTATTACTGAAAGTTGTAGAATTTAACACTCACATTAAATACACATTGAGAATTAAATACCTCACATTAACTACTTGCTTTTTTCAAATTTAAACCTACGCTGAACACAATTCTCTCTCCAAAAAAGCAAATAATCCCTCTTCTCTCCTCCCTCTCGTCATGCTTCCGTCGTTATGATTTTTCGACTTCTGATTTTTCAGATATGACTTTTCAATTTTTCAGTTATAATTTTTGTATCACTGCACTGATATTTGTACCACTACACTTAAACTCAGATATGATATTTTGTACCAGTGCACTGGTAGCGATATCAATGCACCGGTACAAATATCAGATCAGAGTTTAAATGCACTGGTACAAATATTAGTGAAGTGGTACAATGTATCACTGCACTGATACATTTTTTTAATATAACGGTACATTTTTGCGGGTGGCCGGAGGAAGTCTATCCGCGAGATTTCACCGGAAAAGTGTGGCGGTCGGAGGCTGCCGGAAAAAGGATGAATGAAAGATAAGGAGAGAGAATTGTATTTAATGTAAGTTTAAATAAAAAAAGACAAATAATTACTATGACGCATTTAATTCCCTATGTGTATTTAATATGTATTTAATATGAGTGTTAAAATATATAGATTGCATTTAATAACAAGGGGTCATTTTTCCAACCCCTTTTATGGGGTTAGCATGCTAACCGATCCCCCTATGCTTCTATTTTTACATAAAGTAAAGAAGGAAAAAAAGTTTGTTGTATTTCTCTCTCTATTTAACACTTTCCCTCTCTGAACTTGCTATTAAGAAGAAGAAAAAGAGAAGTCTTGAACTGATTGAAAGAAAGAAAAGACAGTGTTTCCCTCCCGTATTTTCCCCTTCTGAAAGTTGTCCCCTTCTCTTGAAAATTGGGCCTCCTTTTATAAAAAAAAAGAGGTGGTGGTGGTTGGGTTCGGCCGGACCAGTTCTGGTTCGACCGGTTTGTCTGTTGGTTGGGGTCGTTGGCCTGGTTCAGGTTGCTGACCCATTTTGCCTGATCTGGTCCAAAGTGGTTTTAATGCTTGGGCTCGAAATGTGGGATGGGATCTTCTCGACTTGTCTTGGATCTGGACCTGAACTGATAGTCTCCTTTCTTCTTGCAGGACTATGGCGGATGGAGTAGAGTGGGCTCCAAATCTTAAGTTTTTAATTTGTAACACTAATTTTTATAATGACGTTGTATAATTGTAATTTTATGTTGTAATTGTAATTGTTGTTTATTCATAATTTTGATAAAACTTGCTTCTTTATTATTAATATATTTGTGTTGTGCCAAAAGATGAGATTAGATTTGATTTTGCAATTACAACAATATTCGATCAAACGAAAGTCTCATATTCAATCAATTAGAATTGAATGCAAACAAATTTTACAATCGTTGATATCTTAGATTAGCAATGGCCAATCTAATCATCTTACGACATCACGGTTTAATTTTCAAAATTCTAGTTTAGTAATTGACCTAGACAAAATGGGTGTCTACACATGGGTTTAGGGGAGGCGTACTCGGAGGCGTGTGGATAATGACGAAGGCCCACGTAAAAGAGCTTACTCATCACATTCGATGACCCTAGATATCTATATATGCATAGTGACCCTAAGCTAGGGGGAGGATTAGTCCCCAAAGTACATGCTTTTAGATTTGATCAATCTTTAGACTAGAGTTTCCTCGTATCCTCCACTCGAAACCTCAAAAACTGATTGATTAATTAGCAACTAGGTGGGAAGTGGGCTAGGGTACCGAGACTTGGGTAGAATACGACCTTGATTACCACGATACGACAACGTCGTTCTAGGTTAATGGGTTAGTTGTGGATACGTGCAAACCTCTGACAAAAACCTGAACAGATTGAAGTGATCAAGTTTTTTTGGCGCCGTTGCCGGAGACCCGTGGTAACTAGTAGAAAACCATTAAGTTGTTAGTTAGTCTTTACCTTGCTTTAGCTGTTTTGTGTTGTGTTTGTTTCGTATTGTTTTTTTCCGTTTTTTGTTCTTTTGATCTTTTCATATTTGTTTTGTTGTTTGTTTGTTTTGTTATCCAACTTTGTATGTCACGGGTTGTTGAGGTTGTGTTTTGTAGATGAAAACCTAGCGATGATTTATGCAAAAAGTCATAGATGAAAACCTAGCGAACAATAACAAAACATAAAGGCGATGATTTGTGCAAAAAAATCATAGAAGAAATCCTAGCGAACAATAACTAAACACAAAGATTGTATAATGGAGAGTGAGGTAAAAGAAGAGCTTGTGAACTTCACCACTTGCACTTGGAAGAATGTAAGAACCACTAATAAATAGTAACTCCCAAGTTAGGCCATTGCCATAACATTTGATACTAATGTGGCACTAAGAATGAGAATTGAGCTCCCATTAGGCAAAACTCTTTTTTTTCTTTTTCCAATTCATTAGGCAAAACTCCACGAAGAGCAAATATTAGGTTAGGCCCAATTGGGAGCTGCTGCTCACGCGGCCCAATAGTTAGTAAAATACGATACAAGAAAGTTACGTAAAAAATACTTACGGGTATTTTATATCGTCTATAAGCTAATGTTATGTTTAAAAGTATGTTGATAGTCATAAATATATAAAAATTAATTATTTTAAAAATAAACAAATTTATAAATAATAGTAAAATTCACAGTTTAATTTATTAAATAAAGATATTAAACGTGTTATACCGGTTTTATACACGTTTAATACGGGAGCCATCAAATGAACGGAAAAAATGAAACGATTTGACAATAATATAAATACGTAAGTTTTAAACGAATTGAATACATATACGTTTATTAAACAGAGTATTTATGCCGATTACTCTCCCTCCAATCCTCACGGCTCACAGTGGGCAGCGGCATTCGTTCCGATTTCCCCCCTAATCCAAGCCCATTTCAGAACCCAAAATCAAAAATCAAAATTTGAATTCTGAGCGGGGCTGACGCCTGACGAGAGCGAACCCCGAAACTAACTATGGTTAATAATAATGGTTAGTTGAAACAAGCCAGCCTGGAGTTAGATGAGCCGGAAACGTGAAAACCCCTAAAGCTGATTCGCCGCTGGCTGGCAAAATGGCAATTATGCTTTAAACAGTGGTTACCTTGGGTTAGAGAGAGTAACCATTTCTGGCTCCCCGCCTCTCTATATAACAACCTGATTTTCGGAAACCCTTCTTCCACATCTCTAAAGAGGAACGAAAGGCGTCTTGATAAACGCCCTTCTCCTGTTCTCCCTTTCGTCGTTCTAGCTCTTCGGCTCCAATTCCCTTCTTCCAGATTCTTCTTCCCGTAACCCTGCCAAAATGAGAGAGTGCATCTCGATCCACATCGGTCAGGCCGGTATCCAGGTCGGAAACGCTTGCTGGGAGCTCTATTGCCTTGAGCATGGCATTCAGGTAACCCTCCTTCTCCAGATCTCAGTCGTTCCTCTTCATTTCTTAGATTTAGCTGCAATGGCGATCCTTCTTCTGCTCGTTTTGCTTCTGCACTCGTTAGATCTGGATCTCCGTTTTCAAAATCTATTCGATTGGTTGGAATCTTGCTTAATCTATTGTTTTCCTTCTGGACTCGAATGAATCGATGCGTTTTCAACATTTCTCGTATCAATCTTGCCTTGTAGAGGCTCTGTTTACCTTTCAGATTAGGTTTCGATCTGCAATTGTAGTTATGAACGCTAGATCTGATGTTCTAGGCTAGATCTAGATTGAATAGGCGGTGAGGAGCTCTCTAGCTATGGTGTATGAGGTTTGAATTCTGAATTTGTTCTACATTTTTTTTTTTTTTGCAGCCAGATGGCCAGATGCCGAGCGACAAAACCGTCGGCGGAGGAGACGATGCCTTCAACACCTTTTTCAGCGAAACTGGTGCAGGGAAGCACGTTCCTCGCGCTGTGTTCGTCGATCTTGAGCCCACCGTCATCGATGAGGTGAGGACTGGAAGCTACCGCCAGCTCTTCCACCCCGAGCAGCTCATTAGCGGCAAGGAAGACGCCGCCAACAACTTCGCTCGTGGCCACTACACAAGTAAATTCTCAGATCTGTCTTGTATCTTCCTTTATTCCCTATCAATTTTCATCGAATGTTCATTACTGATTGATTTCTCCATTCCAAACGTGTTTGCAGTTGGTAAGGAGATCGTCGACCTGTGCCTGGACCGCATCCGGAAGCTGGCTGACAACTGCACTGGACTCCAAGGTTTCTTGGTCTTCAATGCCGTCGGCGGAGGTACTGGATCCGGTCTCGGATCTCTCCTTTTGGAGCGTCTGTCTGTTGACTACGGAAAGAAGTCCAAGCTCGGATTCACTGTTTACCCATCTCCTCAAGTGTCTACCTCTGTCGTGGAGCCTTACAACAGTGTCCTCTCAACTCACTCGCTCCTTGAGCACACTGATGTTGCTGTTCTTCTTGACAACGAAGCCATCTATGATATCTGCAGGCGCTCCCTTGACATTGAGCGCCCGACTTACCAGAATCTGAATCGGCTCATCTCTCAGGTAACCCACCTGAATAATCAATCTGTTTAATATTGTGATTTTATTTTCAAAATTGGGTTGTATCTGATTTCGCTTCTGATCTTCATCATCAGGTTATCTCATCCCTCACTGCCTCTCTGAGGTTTGATGGAGCTCTCAACGTGGACGTGACCGAGTTCCAGACCAACTTGGTGCCATACCCGAGGATCCACTTCATGCTTTCCTCCTATGCCCCAGTCATCTCGGCCGAGAAGGCATACCATGAGCAGCTCTCCGTTGCCGAGATCACCAACAGTGCCTTCGAGCCTTCATCCATGATGGCCAAGTGCGACCCACGCCATGGTAAGTACATGGCCTGCTGCCTTATGTACCGTGGTGATGTCGTCCCCAAGGATGTGAACGCTGCTGTGGCGACTATCAAGACCAAGCGCACCATCCAGTTTGTTGACTGGTGCCCTACAGGATTCAAGTGCGGTATCAACTACCAGCCGCCGACTGTTGTCCCTGGAGGTGACTTGGCCAAGGTGCAGAGGGCTGTGTGCATGATCTCCAACTCCACCAGTGTTGCTGAGGTGTTCGGCCGTATCGACCACAAGTTTGATCTGATGTACGCCAAGAGGGCCTTCGTTCACTGGTACGTGGGTGAAGGTATGGAGGAGGGTGAGTTCTCTGAGGCTCGTGAGGATCTGGCGGCCCTGGAGAAGGATTACGAGGAGGTTGGCGCTGAGGCTCCTGAAGATGGCGAGGATGAAGGAGATGAGTACTGAGAAAGGAAGGAAGATGGCAATTGCTGTTATGCTGTGTTGCTTTGGATGATTGTGGGTGGTTGTTATTCAGACTGAATCTTTTGTGTGGTTTCTTATGTTGTGGTTTTGCCCAGACATTTTAGCGGCATTGATGGCATTATCTGTCTGTGGTTGCTTTTATATTTGCGGGTTTAATCAAGTCAAGCTTATCCTATGTTTTGCTGTTTTGCAGTTTCGATTTATTTGGATTATATGGCTAATATCCTTGTTATTTCCGCGAAGTTTACTTTAAACGGTTATCTGATTTCTTATCACCTTCGGTTGGTTCATGCAAACCCGGATCGAGTTAATTTCTTTCATCTGCCGTCTCGTGGAACAAACTTGAAACTCTCTTTGAAATTGGCCGACTCATTCTTTGGGTTTTTTTCCAGTCAAGAACCAGAGCTAATAAACGAACCTTTCTACCATTGCAAGCCGATTTGGGCATCATTGCTCTATTTTTTTTCAAAAGAGGTAATAACTTAGAATACTCTGGATCCAAACACAATAAATAGGTGTGCTAGAGCAATCGGTTGATTACAAATCATGCTTCAGGAACAAGAAACAGGCGTTTTAAAGCAATTGGTTGATAACAAATCATGCTAGAGATGTACACAAAACAACAAAACATCGAGTAAAATAAACCATCAGAGCTGAATACTTGTACCAAACACGAAATACATAGAATCCCTCCTGAGTTTAAACCAATCAAAGTAACAAGATCAGAATCAGCCGAGAGCGATCACAACGAAGTCCATGGCGATTGAGCACAACAGTGTCATGAAGATTGCTCCAAGACATCCGTCACAGTGAACCTTGGAATCGAGATAACATGGCGCTGGACAAGGATGTGAAACGAATTGCTTCGAGCTAAAGAGGCAGAGGGAGTTGAGGCAGAGAGATTAGGTCCAAGAGAGCATAAGGTCTGAACCGAGCCATCATTTGTGGAATACACTGAGAAGCCGCCGCACCTATCCAAAGAATTCTACCCTACATGATCTGACGACCTACCAAGTAGCAGACAAACAACCAGAGGAAGTCGGAAAGGGAAAGCAGAGAATGACTTCACCAAAAATGATGAACCACCAGAAGGGGAAATCCAATCGCGCCACAAATCGAAACAATGATCCTAAGTTGCTAACTCTAGATCCCAAGATGAGCAAGCCCAAAACTCTCTTTACTTATGACCCAACCGAATCCTACCTCACAAGTCACACATGTACTGATCTCTTTTTGCGTACCATTACTTGAAGGTTAGTTTATGATATCTTTCGTTAATAGTACAAAACTAAAAACTGTTCTATCTGCATTCATTAGTTGCTATGCAAATAAACAATGGGTTGTAACAGAGAAGATGAAGTTGAAGGATGGAACAGTGATTCCAACTCAGTTCGACGCTATGGAGGACCTTTTGACACATTGCCACCTGTCTCATCAACAAGTGAAGGGAAAGAGGCGTCCTTCGACTTAGCGCCTAGCTATTTTCCATTTTTAATGTACAATCATTCGTGTCTATTTCCTATTTTGATTTCGTTAATTTAGTTTGTTACCATTGTAGCAGTAGTTTGTTATTGAAAGATACTATCGCTGCTCCCCTAGAGAGAGTTGCCACTTCTCCAATCTTCAGCCGTCGCCGAGGAAGAGCAGTGTGTACCCCAGTCAAAGGTCCGCCAAAGTCTATTGGCGGAGTCTTTCACGAAGTCTAGGGATGAGGCCGACAAAAGGGTGGAGACTCGACCGATTGGTTACGTTAATTTTATTATAACGGAAATGTACGTTTGTTAATTTGCAATGATAGATGGGTACACAATGTTATTAACTTGAATGAATCAAATAGAGGTTGAGATCGAGACTTTGCTTCGTTTTAAATGCTCTCTTTTTCTCTTTCTTCCAAATAACTTGTTCTCCCTTGGTGATCAAGCAACTTCTTTCTTGAAGGACAAGCAATCATTCTCTTTCTTGCAAAGAGTGATTGCCAACACTATAAATAGGCATCCCTTCCCTCATTCCAACCACACCCCTTGTTGAGTGGCTCGCGACTTTCATGGTGAGAAAAAAGTATCTTAATGAGTGCCAACTTCCTCACAAAGCTACATTTAAAAAGAATCCTTACTACAAAAGAGTGATGATGAAACCTATGTACTAAGAGCCTAGGAAAACATGATCTCTGGTCCAAGAACTAGTAGCGTCCCAACTTCTCCACCAGCCGCTTCTCGATCTCCATTCTTTTCTTCATCAGCACACCATACTTTGACGCCACCTCATTGCTTCCAGGACTAGCCGACAGCTTGCAGCTCAATGACGATTTCTCCAATTTGTCGCTGTACAGGTCTGCTATCGGCACAAAACTGCCCTGCTTACTACAGATCCAGCCATGTGCAGCTCTCAGCGCAGCTCCTAGAGAAGCAGAATCTGTAACCACGCAGGAAAAAAACTAGTTACATTTATATGCCCCTTCTGTATCCAATGGCAGTTGCTTGTGCTTGAAGAAGGAAAGTAGATGCTGATTAAAAATTGCATACCAGGTCTTTGGACAGTGTAGACTCCACAGCCAAATACGGATGCCATCGACTTCAACAGGCTTTGGTTTGTTGATGCTCCACCTGTGGCTATTATACGCTTTGGAGGTACCGGCATCCCGAACCTCTCAGCATGACCTCTCATTGACAGGAACTGGCCCTCGACGATTGCTCTAATCTGAAATTTAGGGTTGTTTTGAACAAAGAGGATGTCAGTTTCGGTAGAGGCTGTAGGAGAAACAGGTAGAACGGGCCTTTCGGAAGGGTAACTTACCTCTGAAGGAGGATCGAATTCTTTCACTTCCTGTTCTTTCACCCCTTCTAGGGACGCTCCGCTGAAATTTTGGAGAATGTAGCGATGGAAACCAACTGTAACAAATGTTTTTCATCAATTTGAAGGAGATAGATAATAACAATCTATGGCGAAGCTAACAACGCAAAGGGGAAACATATATCTTCTAATAAGGACTCACTTGGGAGTGGAGGAAGTATTTCATGGTCCTTATAGTAGAAACCCAACTTCCCACCTGTTGTTTGTTTTGAAGGACCAGAGTCAGGTAGGATTGCATAGAAGAAGACTAAGAAGAAATATCGTAAGTTGAGCATATACTAACCATTAAGAGGTGGTGTTTGCTCCAAAAGTTTGTTGAAGGTCTCCCAAGAGCTCTGTGCACAACTGTTGCGCACCTCTAAATCAAATACCAATTCCATGTAAGGACTGGAGGTATTAAGTGGCACCGCTCAAATGTTAGGACTTTATAACACTAGTGTATACCTTCTCGAGTGAGAGAGCCATTTTTGTAACATAACATTACCATGTAACCTTTTGTGTCTACCGGATTAGGGAAGACATGACCTTCCAACCCAGGTTTTGGATCACTGGATATCCCGATAACCTGCAATGTCAAATTCCAATTGATTCTAAAACTAAGATTAAGTTTGGGACAAACAAAGTGGCAACAGTACAAGAATGGATTTTCGTTGGAACTCACAGTGTCACTGGTGCCAAGACTAATTCCCAGATCACCAGGAACACTCAAGGTTAAACCTGCACAAAGTTCAAGATACCATCAGACTCCAGAATCCTCTACCAAATGCAACTCAATCTGAGAGTTTGAATGTGCAAACTGAATCGTTAACACGGCAAAGCTGACTGTTCTATCCAATATGGCTCAAAGAAAAGGACTCACCAGCTAAACTGTTGGGGTTGTCTCCAGACCAGTGCACAACCAAACAATCCTTATTGAACTTGTACCTGGGCATGGAAGAGGACAATACTCACTAATTTTGCAACGCACACGAATATCATTCAAACAAGCGTCAATTTTAAACAGATTCTGCCTAGTTCAATCATCTTGAGATGCCAGACCATTCCTTTCCGAGTCTTAACCATAAATTGCAAAATGTAGCTAATGCAGTAGTGATCAACAGATGAAAAAGACACAAATGCTACACCAACCTTTCGATGAAATAAGAAGCAATAGAGCCAACAATAGCATAAGCTGGAGCCAAAGGGCCAAGCTTTTCCTCTAGACCTGGTGCAGTAGCCTGTGATCAACCAACAACACACATTCAACAAAAATGCACTCCATCCACAACGAAAGCAGAAAGCTTTCGACAAAAGCAAGTAAAAATCCGAACCTCCAAAGCTACTTTAGACCAGGTCCTTTTCTCAATATCCATCAAATTCATACCAGCACCATCAGCATGATCAATGGAAGCATACTTCCCAGCAAAAATAGACGCCATGAACGAGCTAACAAGTGAAATCCTCTCGGTACCGTTATAAACTTCAGGTTGCTTCTGAAATATCTTCTTGATCTGAGGTCCAGTGAACCTCTCATACCCTCTAGACCCAGTGATTCGAGCCAGCTCAATCGCTCCACCAACAGCTTCCTCAATTTCTCTACATTGCGCCGTGGTGCTGCTATCCATCCATATAGGCGATTCCCCGATCGAAAACGCATTGCGAAATTGATCCAACAATGGCTTGTTAGGGTCCAGAGAGGAGAGCAAGGAAGAGGTGCCATTCTTCCAGTAAACGCTGCCGTGTTGCTGGCCGCTGCCGGAGAGAGCAGCGACTTTCCCGAAATCCAAACCGGATTTGGAGAGGCGTTGAAGGACGAGATCGAGAGCTTCGATCCACATTAGTGTAGGGGAAACGATTCTGCCACTGTCGGATGGGTCTCTATAGACGCCATCTTTGGTCTTGTAATGGGGCAAATCGGAATCGAAATGGATTTGATCCAATTGGATCACGTTCAGATTGGAGTCCAGCACTGTCGCCTTCAACGACCTTTTTTTATTATCAGAAAGTTTCCAGAAATTCGTGCGATCAGCCATTTATTCGAAGTTCGATGGAAACAGGGGAAGATAAAATTGAGTTTCAAGATTCAAACTTTAAACAGTAATCAAATAACCCACAAATCAGTGAGTGCTAGAATTGAAGAAGAGAAGAAAGGGTACTTTACTTACTGGGTAGATGAGTCGAATCCGAGGAAAAAAGAGCCGGGAGGGAGGGCAGCCATTGAATCAGAGCTCGGAGATAATCTGGTCTGTGTGAAAATAGAAACACTGGGGCGAAGATGGAGGAAGAGAGGAGAAGGGGAAGATTAAGAGGGGGAGAGAATCGGGGCTCTGCAAAGTTATAATGGGAAGAATTAATAACGCTCGGCCTGCTCATTCTGGTATTGGAAATTTCGGATAAGAAGGAAGATGTTTTGTTTTTTTTGGATTTGCAGCAGGTATAGAATTAGTAGGATTTTGTTTAGAATTATATCCAAGGAGAGAAACAAGATATTGATGTTGTGATTGATGCTGACGAAGAATTGAATCATATTCCATGTTCGTTGTACGATAGCACAGAATCTGGATACATGTAGGAGTCCAACCAAATCATATTAGTTTTTATAAAGGGTTAATTGCAAGGATGGTCACTGAGTTTACTAAAACCGTTCATGTTTGGTCACTGCAAATATTTAATTCCATTCATGGTCACTAAGATTAGTTCAATAGTTCAAGTTTGGTCACTCTCCGTTAGTCTCTGTTAGTTTTTGCTGATGTGGCAGTCAACTATTATAGTTGACCGTTAAATGAGTGACGTGGCCATTAAAAAAATAATAAAATAATAAAATTTAAATATTTATTTTTCACCTCATTTTGCAACTATTGCAGCTACCAAACATTCTCTTTTTCCTCCTTTTGTCAGCCACACCAAACGCCGTCGATTTCGCTTCTGTAACCCTAACCCCATCGAACGACTTCTTCTCCCCCTCCCCATCGAGCAAAACCCTCTTCTTCCTCGGGCGGCAGTCGAGAAGTCGGCGACAAGTCCTCCTCCGTGCGCGACCGAACAAGAAGCTCCACCACACGAGCTTCTCCTCCATCTGGCGACCGAGAAGACATCGAGCTGACGCGCGACCTTGAGTTCTCCTCATTGCGTTTCTTCTTCTTCTTCTTCAATCTTGCTTGCAACAGGGAAAGATAGTAAGATTGTACCCTTCTCAAGCAATTCCTTGCTTATGAAAAGTAATAAACTGGCTATGTACAACTCTGTGAGTTCAGAAGCAGAAGCAATTCGAATGCTGCAATTTGATCCACCGCCAATGCCGCACATGGGTTTCCTATTCCCCTGAAACTGAGACAGAGCAGGTGTGCTAATCAATTTCTTAATCTTCATATCCTCCTCTTCTTTGCTTATCGCTGCTCCACTAGCCTTCCCCTGTTCCTTCTCTAAACCCATAGCATCTTCCCCGAAATCATGGAAATCTTCTTCTTCTTCTTCCTTTTCTGTAACACTGCTCTTCTCCATTGAGGTCGTGGGTTCTCCTGAATCTTTCGATTCTGCCATCAAAGTCGCTTCCTTTTCTTGATCGGAGTTGTTCTCGACTACGATCTTGGAGGTGTCGATCCACCTCCGGCGACGATCTCCGGGGACTCGCCGGACCGCAATGGAAGCGCCGCTAGGGATCAACGCTTCTTCTTGTTTGCCGTACTCTTCCTTGGTGTTCTCGTTAGTGAAGACGAGATCGTAGTCGGTTCCCAGGCACAAGCCGTTAGGGTTCCATTTCGGATTGGCGTTCTTCTTCGCCTTGAACTTCCTCAGGATCGCCATCTTCAACTCCTCGACCGATACGCATTCTCTTTCTCCGAATCAGAATAAGAGAAGTAGAAAATTGTAAATATTTAAATTTTAATAGTTGTAAAATGAGATGGAAATTGTAATTATTTAAATTTTGTTATTTTATTATTTTTTAATGACCACGTCACTCATTTAACGGTCAACTATAATAGTTGACTGCCACATCAGCAAAAACTAACGGAGACTAACGGAGAGTGACCAAACTTGAACTATTGAACTAATCTTAGTGACCATGAATGGGATTAAATATTTGCAGTGACCAAACATGAACGGTTTTAGTAAACCCAGTGACCATCCTTGCAATTAACCCTTTTTATAAAGGGCATTGCTATTCGTCGCCCTAAAATTTCTTATTTGTCGCCCTAATTAAACTAAATTTACTTTAATGTCCTTTGTTTCATTTATTCAGTCGATAATTATCATAAACTGTCATACTAAAGCGGTGGAGGCGGCGCAACCACCAGTGGCCGTTTTGGGTATGAAACTCCAAACAAAACGATAACATTCTTTGAACTCCTAGCCCTAAATCCCCAAATGGCCAAATCACATCCACTTTCTGTCTTTATCTCTTTCTTAGTTTGTCGCTGCCCAGTTGCGATTGGATTAATTGCTTCGATTTTGAATTGTTTGTTGCTCTACTCTGAGCCACAATTTTCTTGTTTTGGTTCCACATTGGTTTTAGTAGTAGGGTCTTTCTTTTATTAGTAGACATCAAAGAGAAATGCTCTGTACTAGCTTAGCTAAAAGTTTGTTGATGATTCTATTAACTGGAGAAAGGTAGCGAGGTGGTTCGCCACCACGATTGGGCGCTTCGGCTGGGGACGCGTTGCCAGTTGCCACCAGGGTTAGTGGGCATCTCGGTTGTTGTTGCCGTTGTTTAGTGGGGAAAAGGGGCAAGGGAAGAAAGAAGGAATGAAGAATTGGAGAAACTCCGACACCGACAACAGAACAGAGCATCAGCGACAGGTGGGTTCAGGTGGGCAGCGCCGCAGATAAGGCACCGGCTATGGTAGCAGCGGTCAAAGGACGGATAAGCTTAGCTCGCCGGCCGCTGGGCAGGGGATAACAGATTTTTTGTTTAGGCTTTAGGTTGAAAATGTGACTAAGGGTAAGAATGTCAATTTGGTGTATTTTAGGGCGATAAAATTTAAATTTTAGGGCGACGAATAGCGATTCAGTTTATAAAACATGATTTGATTATAAATATACTATAATTAAGTAGGAGATCGAATCAAAACTCATGCATTCAGAAGGAAATCTAAAATTGAACTAACCACTGGCTCCGAAACACGAGTAATGCGGGAGCTTTTTCCTTCAACCAATTTAGCTAGCTGTTTTCCTGACGAATGTCCACTCTAGTGTCGACCATTTCCAGTTGGAATTCCATCGTTACACCATCAATGTAAATGCAATTGTTCCCTTTAGGGTTATAGGTATAATATGCCCATTTATTATAAAGTATTAAAGTTTTATCAAACATGTCATTCTACTATTTTTTACATCAAACATGCCCCTGTACTTTGATAAAATTATCAAACATGCACTTCTGCTAAAATTTCCATTGAAAAAATCGTCAATCATTGTTGAACCAAGATTTAGAGGACCCGACATCGGCAAATGTGAGGGAAAATATAAGTTTTGTCCCCCGTTTTATTTCTCTAGGTTTCTTCAAAGTGAAATTATTTGAATTATTTGACTGTACAAAAGAACCAAAAAAATTCTAAAGTGAAATTATTAGGGATATTTTAGACATTTGTGTCGCCCAAACCAAAGTTCGGCATTGGTTAACCGTTTTTGGATGAAATTATTTGAATTATTTGGTTGTACAAAAGAACCAAAAAAATTCTAAAGTGAAATTATTAGGGATATTTTAGACATTTGTGTTGCCCAAACCAAAGTTCGGCATTGGTTAACAGTTTTTGGATGAAAATTTTAACAAAAGTACAAGTTTGATAATTTTTACAAAGTACAAGGGCATGTTTGATGTAAAAAATAGTAAAGGGACATGTTTGATAAAACATCATAGTAGAGGGGCATATTATACCTATAACCCTTCTCTTTATTGCCAACTCAATTTTTTTCAATCCACCTCAAATCACTTTCATAGTTTCATTCATCTATATCAATACAATTAACTTTCAATTGTATGCATAATTAAATATTATGTTTAAATTATAATAAATAAAGTGAAAGAGAAAGAAAATAATATAAAATAAAAACCTCTATTTTTAGGCCTTTTTGACTTGCATATGCAATTATATTTGTTGCAAGCTTGCAAATATGCAAATGGTAGCCCCATAACATGTCATGTCATTTAGCAATTGAGAATGCAATACCAACATAGATGCTCTAAACCAAATCTTTTAAGGAATTTCTTAAATTAATAAGGCCATTGGATTAATTAAGAGTAGCAAAAGGAAAAACAATGAGAAAAAATGGTTCCTTGACGCTCAGAAGGTCAGAGGAAATTGACTATAAAAAATTTAGTAACACGACCACACTATTTGTTACTCTATGTCAAGAATTACTAACAAAATTATTTTGAATTTTCTGTGATTGCAGTGTCTTAGTCCTCTAAAGCACCATCATCTCCATCAATTACAATGATTTTGTCTTCCATAACGAAACATTGTTCTTCATAATAGGTTGTTCCTACTTTTTTCAGTGGAGGCTAATATTTAATAGTAAAATATTTGGAAATACTGAACATTACACAAAGTAAAATTTACGTCTCATGAGCATTTTATGAGATTTACACTTTCCTTAACACTGATAAACAACCATGCGACCAACACAATATTTTATACTCGATAGATTGAAAATTAATGAATAACCAGTAGGCGTTGACTTTTATCCAATAGATGCATTTTTTTTCTTCATAAAAATCTCCAAAATTGGTTGCCCAATTTATAAAAATGACTTAGGAAAGTTTAGTGGTCGACAATGAGAATACTAAAACTTGCAACCAATGTCATCTTCTATCTATGGTGATTTTATTTTAAATTTTTAAATCATGAATTAAGCGGGGAGTAGAATGATCAGTGAAAGCTAATATTTAATATTAAAATAAAATGTTTGAAAATAATGAACATACAGTAAAATTTACGTCTCAGGAACATTTTATGAGATTTATACTTTCCTTAACACTAAACAACCATGCGACCAACACAATATTTTATAATAGATAGATTGAAAACTTAATGAATAACCAGTAGGTGTTGACTATTATCCAACATATGCATTTCTTTTTTCTTAAAGATCCCCAAATTTGGTTGTCCAATTTATAAAAATGGCTTAGGAAAGTTTAGTGGTCGACATAAGAATATTAAAACCTGGAAAAAATCCCAAAGTACACTAGTTCTTAAAAAAAATTCTCAAAATACATAAGTTATAAATTTTTTTCCAAAACTACACATGTTTGCCATTCACCGTTTTTGACAAACGCAGTGAATATAATCACCGCCTTTGTCAAACACGGTGAACATATCACCGTGTGAAAATAAAATGGTGACGTGTTCACCGTCTTTGTAGAAAGCGGTGAAGTGTTCACCGCGTTTAACATAAACGGTGAAGACATCACCGTTTAAGTTAAAAGCGGTGAAAAGCAGGGAACATATTCACCGCCTCAGGCTAAGGCGGTGATTATTTTCCACGTTTCCCGAACCTGTTAGGTGAAAATTAGGTCACAACTACCTAATGTTCACCGTTTGAGACAAAGGCGGTGATGTTGTTCACCGTTTGAG